TAACTGAAATTCCAAACTCGTTTCATGTGTCAAAACTTTTGTTAGACTTCGCATTTATGCACACTTACAAATACTTTACACATGGAACTACCACATATGTATACAAAAGTATGTATGTATGTGTGCAAAACTTGGGTGCCAATCGTTAATAGGTTTATGGCGACTGGGGTAAGTCGGGTCAGGTCAGATGCATAAAAAAGCCAAAAACTGAAAATCACTAAACGTGTAAACCTAATTCCATTGCGCTTAGACGACAGTAAACCAAAAATAAAATTAATGTTTAAATATTCATATATACTTGTATGTTGAAAGTACAGCGAACACCATGTCATACCTCAATACGTCAAAAGACTTAAGCTACAAACTTGATATCATATAAAAGTATAATAAGTTAAGAAAATTGTTCATATTTTAATAAATTTTCTACAGTAAACAACTTTAAATGACCAGCTTAAAAGTTTGCAAAGGACACACTTATTAAAACTAGTTATAGTAACTAAAAGTTTTTACTAATAAGTTTTATTCGGGCTAAGCATACCCCCAACACCTAGGAATATTGAATTTTCATCACATTCATATTAAACTCCCAAAATATTCAGAAAAGTGTATAGTGAGCAAATTGATGAACTTTGTGCAATTAAATTCGTTTTGGTCTGCATTGCTGGATTAAGTTAGTAATCGTGGGTAATGCTACGAAATTTTCTTCTGTTCGCACTTAGACGGGTTTATCAGCCACTAAAGAATTCGGAACCGCAAATTCCTATTTGAAGCTAGTCTAGCACTCTTGTTAAGGTAATTTATCTTATGATGCTTAGATCAGTTCTTTCAATCTTAGTCTGTCAGAAATGGGACAATCAGGAGGGAAGTGTTAAGTTTGTTCCCCCTCCAGATGACTTCGATAGTACATTAGACATCATATTATTAGAGATAGATGCGTCATTCTGATTGCAAGAAGCTTCCAATACCCCGGCTAGAATAACCCTCCGGGCAGCCTAGCAGATTTAATCAAAGGTACAAAAGGTACGGCAATTCTTAATTAGTTTTGAGCGCTTGGTTAATGAGCTGCTTGAGCTGTAGTCCTGAGATTTAAGTTGATAGACAGCTCGTGATAAAATAGTTTGTAAGGTTTTAGCTAAGAAAGCTGGAAAAGGCGGAGTAAGAATTGCTTCTAAGGGGGAGATCTTTTACTATTTTACGTGGCCATGTGTCTATTAAAGCCATCAAAAGTCATTCGCTGAAGCCACTCAAAGCCATCCTAGCTGAGGCTTATAACAAGTGTATATACTCGTGCAAGTGGATTAAACCTTGGCTTGCTTGTGTTGGATCAAAAGAAGCCTATTTTGAAGGCGATATTAAAGATTTGAATTAAAATTCGTAAATATGTCAGTTCTGATCAAATATCGGTAGAATGTACGTGAGTACTTCAGAGAGAAAGTACGTGATCAAAAACACGTATAATGAATGTTTAAAGTCTGTTAAATACGATATCATATTAGAAGATACCGATAACCGAAAAACTTATTGGAGCAGATTCTATTGATTGCCTTAACGAGAAAATATTCAAATTTAAAAATGCATTAATAATAATGACAATATTATTCTTAATTGATCACCACAAAAAAGTTTTTCAAAAATATATTGTATACAAGTGTGAATTTGTTTTTGCAACCACATACATGTCGGTATGTCACACAAAAAGTAAACAAAACCATTTGCGTTCATCACTTTGTCAGCAAATTCAAAGAACACCTCGCAATCAACTTGTCAGTCAGAATAGTTCATCTGTCCATCGAACTAACCAACCGGCCAACCGAGACACGCCCGTCTAAATTAAATCAATAAATTGTATTTAAATGAGCATGCCTGTAAAAGGTGACGCAGCAAGCGGACCCAAAGCATTATTTGTGGCATGAATAAATTGAGCGGAAAGTGTTCGCTTGTCAGCGAGTCATCTGGACTCATCAGCATACCGAAGGCGACTAAGTGACGTAACAGCGCGAGCAGAGGCAGCAAATTTACACATATGGGAATATGTATATATATATATAAATATATGTGTGTATATATATGTGACTTGTGAAAAAATTCGCTGCACAACAGCGCTGACATACAGCATACCGTATCCAGCTGGGGCCCAACAACTGATGACTGCGACACTAATGAAATGTCTTCATCGGAAACAACTCTATTAAATGTGAAATGCTGTTATCGCGCAAAATGGTCGCTGGAGCCGACTGCTGTACTGCGACGCGAATTCATATCTTAATGCTGCTATTATTGTTGTGTGGTTGCTTTTATTGTTATTTTTGTCCACCACAAGACACATTGATTGTCACAGTGGCTCGGCAGCTACTCTTCGCTTTGCTTGGCATGACTTGGCTTGGCTACTGTAGCTCGCGCAAATCGGCTTGTATACGCGGAGTTCCTAGGAAATTGAAATGAAAATCCAAATCGCCAAAGTATTGTGTCTCTATTTGGACGAGTTAGGTTGGCTTGGCTGACTGGCATTTGGAATCGCTGCATCTCTTAAAGCGCAAAGGAATTGTTGGAATGGCATTTGTTTGTAAGCGCATACGTTTGCTTTTCGGTATGTAACCACAGTGGGTTTGGAGCGAGTGACGGTCGGCAGCCAGTGTTGCTGCTGTCTCTGCTTCTACCGCAGTTGCTCACTGTAGTGTAATTGAGGCGTTGAATTGCAAGCCAACTTGGCACTTACTTTGGCGCTATATATTCTAGTATGTATTTATGCACAAATGTATACATATACTTCTACCATATATATACTAAGGTGGAGCGAAAAAAAAATTTTTTTTTTGCTTAGCCTGCGGTTTAAATTCGTAGTTTATATAACAAGAAAATTTTTTGGAAAAAAAAAAATTTTTAACATCTAGAGGCGGGCCGCTTTCACTTTCAAGTAAAGTTTAGAGTTAAAATTTTTATTTCGTAAAAATTTTCGATAAGTGTTCTAGAAGCTGTGGAGGGTCCTCTTTCTGGCCATTATTGAAGTTTTAAAAAAGTCCTAAACGACAACATGCTTTCCTTAAGCGTTAAAATAATTATTATAATAAATTTCGAAATAAATGTGAAGAGTTTAAACCAACAAAATTTTTTTTTGTCCAAAAAAAATTTTAACTCGAAACATCGAGCAGCCTCTAGATGTTAAAAAAAATTTTACGCTCAGGCTAAGCAAAAAAAAAATTATTTTATTTATATATATATATTACCTTGTTGCACCCTAATATATAATGGCAGTAAGTACGGTACTCTGAATATAAACCTGCAGTTAGCAAATTTAATTTTTACCACTTCGAGGAGCGCGGTTGCAGTTTTTGCTGATTTGAAAGGTTGTAGAAAGCGAAAATATTCTATGTTCTGGTGTCGGGTCGAACCGTGATTGTCAAATATCAAATTTAACTACTTCAAATAGTGGCGCTTATTTTTGTAATTCAACCCCAAATAAAAAAAATATAAATCCCTCCACATTATATCTAGTTAGGTATGTAAGTAAGGTGGCTGTCGGATGATGCACTTAGGTCTTTCGGTAACAGTTTCGTAGAGCCAAATACTTACATAAGTAAGAGTCCCCACCCTTTTCTTCTAGCTTTTCTACAGCCATATAAGGCAACCGATGACTTCTTTACTCTCTCCTCAATTTTAGCCTCCATGAACGCTTCTTATCAAGGATAAGCCCAAGGTGTTGCACCTTATGAACAGGTTAATGAAGTGCACCTCCGAAAAAGGGCAGAAGCACGTTTGGAATCTTGTACCTCCTTGTAAATAAAATAATTTCAGTTTTACTTGCCGTTCTTGCAGAACATTATAATAAATTTGATTTGATTATTTTACATACTTAATCGTGGTATCGAATGGTTCTTATATAGAAACATCTACTGAACTACAAGCAAATTTTGAGATACTCCAAAACTAAAATAGCTTATGAAAAATTCCACACCGAACTCAATTTGTCATACCACCCTCGTACTCTCGTATATATATATATACTTTTCGCTATTTCACATATCTATTTTGCATGCTGGTGAGCTAGAATTATACTTTTGCTGGCAGCTACCGTTTGATTCTGATATACATTTCAAACTATTTCAAGCTACCAACACTGAGCTCTAATAGCTTTTCGGTGCTGCATTGCTGATATTTTTATTTTCATCTATTTTTTTTTTGTTTTTTTTTTTGTTTTTTTTTTTTGTTTTTTGTCTTTTGTCTAACCAATATCTATGAATTTAAATGCAGTTAGTTTGGTTCTTATTGCTATTATTGTTGTTTGTGCTGTTTGTCGCGCACTTGACACTGACGCTTCGGCTTAGCATTGTTAGTCCATTTGCGGCAGATTGATCTATATTCGTGACTGAATTAAGCAGATATTTGCGCTACCAACTACCAACTAGCAGCTACCAACTTCTCAAGCAAAGAGATAACAATTTTGCCTCAAGCATTTTAGTTGTTTTGTTAAGCCGTACTTGTAAATGGAACGCTGAACGCTCAGGTGCATACAATTTGAGGTCCCAAAAGCAACTCTTCACCGACACATTTGCATGCGGTATACATTTAATAAGTGTTGAAGAAACAAACTTGCGAATGGCAAATGCAAAAATATAATTTTCTCACAGCAACGTAAGTTTTTTTCTTATTTTTTTTTACTACTTTAAAAAAAAAAAGTTGAAACTTTAAAAAAAAAATTTCAATTTTTTTACGTATAATTTTTAATTTTCAGCTGCGCTTCAGCTCAAATTTAAATACAACAACCTGTTTTGGAACTTGCCTACTCACTTACTCGTTGGTTAAGCTCATTAAAGCTTAAGCAAATTTGAGTTGTTTGCTTTAATGCGACATTAATTTTGACACTGTCTCTGGAATTTGGCTAAATAATTCTTCCCACTTAAAGATTTATTGCATTTTTACGAAATGCACACCTTTTAGCTATGTTTTTCTTTATATTTTGCTTGAGTAATTTGCATTAAAAAGCATTTCTCTCACCTTTGCAGGCACTCTCAGGTTTCCTCATGATGCTGACGCAAAACGGGAAATTGCTTTATATATCCGATAATGCAGCCGAATATTTGGGACATTCAATGGTAAGTGGTAAATTATTTTGAAAAACATTATATTTTTCATAGCAAATAGAATTGTTCAGTTCTCCGATTTATTGCCACGCCTACAATATGCCTTTAATCGGAAAAGGCCATATCTCAGCTATTAATTCAGCCATAAATCAAATTTGTGTGCTTTAAACATTAAAAGTGCACGTACAGGTATAACAGATTTTTTTTCCTTTGCTATTTATGATAAGGATTGCCACCTGTTTTACAAATATTAATCCAATAAGTTGGCAATCTTGTAACACTATTTACATCAAATGATAAGTACATAAACAATATTTAATATGGGAACCTTCTTGAAAAGCTTAGATTTGAAAGCATTTTTCATAAGAATTGCCACATGTTTGAAATTCTGTATAAAAATAAATTTCAATTTGGGTATCAAATTGAATACATTCAGATAATATTTAAGTCGAAGATAATTTTAGTAGAGTTGTCAACTTTTAAAAATTGTTTATACAATTAAATTACAATAGAGATATCAAACTTAACATAGTTGAAAAAGTTTTAATTCGAAAGCATTTCAAGAAGGGTTGACACCCGTTTTAAAATGTGTATACAATTAAATTTCGATATGGGTATCAAATTAAGCAGATTTAAAATAGATTTAACTCGAAAATACTTTAAGAAGGGTTGCCAGCTGTTTAAAACTTTGTATGCAATTAAATGGCAACATGGAATATCAAATCGAACAAATTTAAAAAAATTTTGAGTAAAAGATAATTTGAGAAGGGTTGTCACCTTTAAAAAAAAGAGTCAAAAAAATTGACAAAAAAACTTTCGTTGCCAATATTGAACAAACGAAAGGTATCTAAGAAACTCGTGATACACATATAAATATTTACAAAAAAATAGGCATTAAGTATAGCAATGCAAATATCGATATTTATTTGGGAAATATGCCCAAAATATTTTCACACACGTTGTAAAATTTGCCTTTTTATATACTGACGACTGACTTTATTGGTTTATTGTTATTGGACTAATTTTCTTATACCTCCCTAATGTGTCCATTATTTTACTACTTTCCTTGAATAACAAAAAATTAATTAATTAACAGTATAAATTATGCAATTATTAGAAGGAATTACACATAAATTTTATTTTTCTTGCATAATAAATAAACAAAATATAGAAAATGTTGTATTATATCCGTAAAATGAAATATACCCACACTAATACTTCTTCAGTTGCTCCTATTTTACAAGCCATGCTAGTAATTTTGAAAGGCATGTCCAGCATCTGTGTCAACATTTAATCTGATGGATTTTACGAAAAAAGAAAATAATAATAATTTTTCTTACAAGACTTTTGTTTCGTTTCCACTCTTCTAACCTTAAAACTACAAAAAAGAAATCTGCTGAAAATTTTCGAACAGTAATCCTACAAGTGGCAGGCCAAAATCAAAACAACAACAACAGCAAACGGCAACAACTTTAGTAGCAAGTTTACAAGCTACTTAAGCTAAGCGTAGATTAACAAAAAAATTAAACAACAATAAAAAAAAATGCTGAGGAATACGTTTTGTTGAACACTTTTTCACATTACAACCAATGCAACAACGAAACTATACAGCAACACGGCCGCTTAGCAACATGCAACCGAAATCACTGCAGCTCAACTTACAGCAAAAACAACAACACCAGCAATGTAATGTTACAAAAAAGTGATGCTAATCTTTGACAACTGACGACAGATTTAACATTACAACGCGCATGTCACAGGTTGTTTGCTCTGTGAGCTGTCAGTGCTGCAAACAAACACAACAAAAAACAGCAACGCTAATAGCAACAAAAACGCGAACTAAAATGAAGACAACAACAACAATACTCGTGCAACACACCAACCTGCAGTTGTTTTCGCAGCAGCCGCAGGTTGCAACTTGCTTTCGGTTGCATGCCACCAAATGCTGCCTAGCAAGCTTTGATTAATTTGCCGCACAGCGCACTGAACTGTTAGCTTTTACCTCGCCAAATCTCACACAAAATGGCAAAATTCACGTGTTTTGAACAAAAATCGTATTTTGGTGTTAGAAAATGGGCTTAGTGCTTGAAGTTGTTTAAGATACATTTCATTGATTTTATATATATATTGTATTTTCTTATATAAAATTATGTTTTTCCTACAACTTCTACTCTCTTTTTTTGGTAGCCTTTGATTTCATTTTATATTTGTTATTTTTTCGGTTCATTTTTTAAAACTAAAAATTTTTAACCGACAAGCTTACGTAGTTGTCATTCATCGCTAGCAATATGTACAATAACGGTACAAAAAAAGTGTACACAATATTTTCGGTGCAACTCTGCGCTCCCGAAACAAGTTGTAAGGTGAACATAGTAATTTCGTACGACTGCGAATTTGAAAAAATTGTGTGTTTACGATTCAATTCTGCTAAATGTTAGGTAAAAAATATTGCTGCATTCACAGCTCGCTTCACCCACTCCCTTTGTTAATGTATATATATATATGTATATATATATTAGGGTGAGCCAAATTTATACATTGTTGTCTAGCAAAAATAATCGCCCTGAGGTAATTTTTTTTAGGAAAATAAAATTACTTTACAAAACTAAACGATTTCAAAGTTATGATATTTTTAAAAACAAATATTTCGGTGTTATTTATGTGGGAAAGGTTTAATGTTTAACGATTTTTTTTTTAAGTTAAGCTAAACATCCTGCCTTGTGGAATATTTCTTACTCTATAAGGGAAATTAATAATAATATTTATAAATACAAAAAGTTGTTCAATAAAAGTTTGAGAATATATGTAGGTTGCCTTTTATATTTCGGGATTTGGCAACCCTACTGTTGCAATCTGTCAATTCACAACTTTATCGTAAAGTTTAATAGTTTTAATGTTGCACATACCCAAAACGTTTTGACATACGAGCGCTACTTGTGTTGTTTACAGTAACTTAAAGTATTCACCTCGACTAAATCCGAACATTTAGGCGCGATTATTTTTTACAAATTTTGGCGTGAATTAATTCAGCAACAGTGTATTGATATACTTCATTAAATTTTTCGCCATGAAGTTCCATCAAGGACCAATGTTTATTTATGGTACGGCGAATGCCATCGTGGTCGTAGATCACTCTAAAACGAATTTCGGGAAGGTCATTCAAAATCAGTTGGTATTACGGAAACTATTGATGCTGTGCGCAAACTGATATCGCAAGATCGTCATGTGACCTATCGTTAGATTGAGACAACTATAGGCATTCATAGGACCAGAATACATTCATTATTGCATGAACATTTGATTGCAGAAAAAACTGTTCACGTTGGATCACACACAATTTTTCAATCGCTCAAAAAAGTTCGAATGGTCGAGAGAAATGTTAAGAAGATATAATAGCGGTGCTTCGAAAAACTTCTGTGACATCGTGACAGGTGATGAATCGTGGACTTATGCCTATGAGCTAATTTTGAGTGGCACACAACCATTTGTTTCTTAGTTGCCTTTCAAGAAATGAGGAAAATAGCCGCAGAAGACGGATCACTCTACAGCCCGACAATGCGAGCTCTCACACGCCGACTGCAACAATTGCATTTTTGAGCACTCAAAACATTGACTTGATGAGTCATCTATCGTATAGTCCTGACTTGGCACCAAATGACTTCTTTTTGTTATCGTATGTAAAAAATAAACTAAGAGGTTACCGTTTTTTATACCTGAAGAGAAGATTTTGATGCGTTCAGAACGCATGTTTTGGAGATACCTCAATCAGAGTGGCCAAAATGCTTCGTCAATTGGTTCAAACGTATGCTAAAGTATATCGATCTTAATGGTCAATATTTTGACAAGCAATAAAGCTTTTTCGATAATTATCATTTGTCGTTGTTCTCTAATCCGATATATTAAAGACAAATTACATTAAAATTAAGAAATATTTTTTATACTACACAAAATCTTAAACTTTCCTTGTAAAGAAATACAAGGAGAAAATAATAAGTACATATTATATGACTATAATATACAATATAATATTTAAAAATGTTAAGTTTCTTTTAATCTGGAACAAATAAAATAAATAATAATTCAAAATAAAAATGCAAATACATATAGAAATAATTTCATAAATCACAAACTGCCAATCCATATAATATTGCACAATAAAATATAATAAAAAACCATTAAATAATTCCACTTAACAAAAGCACGAGTAACCAAGAGCAACAACTTAATTTAAATCGTAAAAAATAATATCATAACAACTCTAATTGATAATTAATCAAATATGAATGGTCAAAGCATAAACTTGACAGCAAAAAGACAGAATTTTAAAATGCACAGAGTCACTTTTTATGACTTCAGCGTTTGAAGCGGGCGAGCTACTAATGGCTGCGGTAACATGAACCAAGCGTTAGATTTAAAAACACGGACAAATAATAATAATATTTCAACTACACGTAATAAATATGTGTGGCAACATGAAGTAAATGCTTAACGCGAAATCAGATACAGCTGAGTTAATGTGGCATATTAAGCTGTGGAACGTAAGTACGACATGCCGACAATAAATAGTTGCTGCTAAAATTTTTGTTCTTAATGTGAGAGGGAACTATTTCAAAAAACTAGTTGCCTGAAGAACATAAACTTTTTTACAAGACAAAATTCAGTACTGCATAAAATCGAGTTAGGCTGTTTTTTGTGTGAAACGTGTATATATTTCCAACACATTAATATTTTGGTAGTTATTTAAACGCATATAATAATAAATATTGTCTAAAGAATATAAAACGCTATCACTAAACATGACTCAATACTGCATAAAACCGAGTTAAGTCGCTTTTTGTGTAAATTTATACACCACACACTCAATTTGAATATTTTGCCCATTATGTAATCGCATATGATACTAAATATTAAAACCGTTAGTATACAGCGCCTTCGTTAGCCACCTTTGCGTGGCCTCCGGCATTAAGCTCGCTGCGCGCGCACAGCTTGAGTGACGGGCGTGCGTCAGCGAC